ACAAATAAGGAAAGGAACAAAGACATAAATTTTCAAGCACTTCTGACAAAGCTTACTATTAGTGAACATAAACATGAATAACCAAACGTTAACATGATACAAACAAACAAATAGGATCACTCACATCTTACTTTTGAGAAGGCATTTCATAATTACAGTCATGGGTGGAAATTAAAATTTATCAGCCACTCAAGCATTTAACCTGCCACTATCTTGCTTTTTTGTGTGTAAAAAAAAAAAAAAAAAAGAAGCCTGGTGCTTCGGGGACCACGGCGTTGCTTTTTTATAACCATTCCCTTGTTTCCAGGTTTCAAAAAATGGCGGTTTTAATTTTCACGAACGAGACCGAGTGACGCTACTGACCAGCCAATCGGTGGCACGCAGTATGACGACGTTACATGTTAGTATCTGCTCGAATCGCATAACGGCATTTAGATAAGACTAGCAGGTTTGTCCACTGTTCAAATTTCCACACCACTTAACCTGCATTTGGGCAATGACTGGTGCTAATAACAGTACAATGAACTACGTTATTTAGAGAAACAGAACAGGGCAAGTAAGTGTTTATTAACTCTGAATAAGATCAATGTTGCACATAAAAGGTGGGTTTTTCTGAAAATATGAGTAATTTGCTTTATGTTGTATAAATGTGAATTACTTTTAGCTTTTTACTAAGTCGTTCTATTTTGTAAAAGCAGTTTGTGTCATGTACAACAATAATTCCCTCAAATGCTCACTCCTGAGCACCTTGCCTCTCTTTCACTCTCAATATCAGCAGTGAGTAAATCTATCATAAAAGAAACTTAAAAATGGAGAAACTGAGTGCCTCAAGTAAAGTAATGAACACTCCCAAGCACAACACAGTCAACACAAACTGAACATAAGGACAAGAAAATGAAAACTGATGCGTGCCCAAGCCCGTAATTATAGTGAGATTTTTTTCCAAATGAAGAGACTGATCAGTCTTTTCCAGCCTTACTGATGTCTCAACCCACTGAAGGCCCTTTTCCACAGGACGCGGTACACGCAGTGCTGCGCTCTGAAACCTAGTTATTTCTAACGCTTGCGCCGGGCAATAACATTTCCCACTGTGCCAAGCAAAGCGCAGCGCAATCGTGCAAGTACTTGTGCATACCGCAGTCAAAATTCAGACCAATTGAACTTTCACCACTGCATGCTGCAAAGTACCTTCACACCTACAGCTACGCTAAGTTCAACTACACAAGGAAGGAAAACAAACTCTTTGTGTTTCTGAGTTCAGTAAATGTTTTGACTCCAGAGTCTTTAAGTCATTCCTATCAATGGCTCTGGGGATAGAAGCATTCTTCTTTATGAATGACCAATGCATTTTTTAAAATTAAACATTTGAACATATTACAACACAAACTCGCATAGAGGATTTTGGGTCCTACGCTCTAGCTAGCTGTCAGCACAGCACATGCCATGGCCTATGTGAAAGGGCCTTTAATGTACACACATTAATGACAACACTTTTTAATACTATGGACTCTGTACAGCAGCCGCCTCATACCGCTACCTGGGCTGCAGCAGATATCTTGCGCTTAAACTATATAATGCATTTAATCTACATTTATTTCCTCTCCTAATATTTTACACTACAGTTCATTCTTCATTTACAAAATATGTGCTTTGCTAACCCTTGTGATTGGGCATATTCTGTAAACATCAACTCTTTGTGGGTGCGGACAAGATAATAAGGTTTAACTTTTATACTTTTACAAAAAGTTGAATTATTTAGATGCCAGATGTTGGGTTGTTTGTTCTTCCCTTTCTTTATTAGAGGTTTCATAAATTTTTAATGTCACAGACGCCTTCATTTACATCTGATGTTCACTTTTCCTCACTTATACAATCAAGCAATCCACTAGGTGAGATAATGTGAGATGAGAATTTCTAAACCAAAACAAGGAAAAGGGTTTCTGACAGAGTATATCATACCCTAGAAATACCTAAAATACATGCACTGTTTCATGTCCACTTTAATGACAATTACATTCCATACTGCATTCTGGAAACATTCAGACTGAATGCAAGTAAAATGTCAATATAAATGCCCGTTTCATCACCGTCCCAATGCCTGCGAAAACAACAAGCATTATAAATCACTAGTCAAATACGAAAATGTCTGCTTATGTTGTGGCGACTGTAATTCAAAGTCTTGTGTAGCATTTATATAAATTCACGAGCCCAACTCACTTGAATAGTTTCTAAAATAAAATAAACAAGAACCACTTCCATCTGTGCAGCAAACCACAAAACAGATTAACAGCTAGCCACGTACCAAACGGAAGTTAGCTAAAAAGCTAACTACATTTAAATAGATTTAAAGAAACTGCAGTTTGTTTGTTTTTCGTATGATTGCCACATCCCTGTTATTGTTCTCTAGCTTAATAACCACTAATATGTAAAGATTACGCAATACAATGCTACACCGATCTTTATGAATTACGTTATTTGTTGTGACTCCTCATCGATTTAGTCATGATTTCATGTAAGCTGTAACGTCACCTACCTACAGTAATAAGATCAGTAAAAAAAATTACAACGAAACAAAAGATATACATAATTATCAAAGGTACATTTATGTTACCTTTAATGTGTCCTGATGAGTCCGAAGCTATCAAACTTCAGTAGGCAGCTAACGGTAAGTTAGCTTCTCGGGATGTAATAGCAACGCTTCTTTGAAGGTAGAAACCAAGTTTAGCTACGTTTAATGTTTTGGTCAACTGCACGATATTTGTTAAAGACATAGGTTTCCACCCTATTAACATGCGGCACTGCTGCTTTCTGGGTGAGTTTTAGATACGAGTTCGTTTAATGGTTTTGGTCTTCAGCCTGACACCGTGGGAAAATAAGGAAACAATTTTCAGTCTTCAGCTAAAATGAAAGAACTTCCAGTTCAATGATCAGTTCAGTTCCGGTGTTCGGGGTACTCAAATTAGCCACTCGCTTTGTGAAAACCCCTTGGTAGTACACAGACGCGCTTGTATCTGTAGTTCAATATAATATTATCTATGAGTTTTTGTGCAACCTCATGTTGTCATGACTGGATAGCTTATTAAAATGTAACATGGACGGTCTGTGTCATTGGTTAACCTTATTCTTATACGGATTCTCCTGTGATATTTGGTGATACTAGTTCATATCACCAAAGCTGCTTCTGTCAAGATATATATATATATGCTGAAATAACAGCAGGCAGTATTTTGTTCTTTATTAGAGAACAAAATATCTATTCTCTAATAAAGTTGGGATTCTAAGTGACATTTACTGTTTGTCGTGTGAGGGTTACTAAATGAGATCAGATTTCTTACCTGAGATGTCAGGTAACGTTGCCGACATGTGACCAAAAGTAATTTTTCATGTTCTTCGATACTGGAATATTTGTGTCGCTAGTTTAGTAAATTAGGATAAAACTAGAGATGGGAAGCTCCAAGCAGACATTTCGACATCCCGAAGTGCAGATGTTTCGAAACACTGCTCCAAAACGTGGTTCACAACACCCAGATCACATGACCACGACAAACCCAGGTTTTGGTACTCCAGTTTCGACTGGTGGCGTACCATACCCAGTCTTTTGGACTGAGGCTTGTAATTATTGACTTCATGTTTTTGATACTACCGCTTCAATTATATGCGCGTGTAAAAGAAAATAATACCCTCTCTGTCATTATTATTTTTGCTGTAGATTGTGAAGACTAGACTATCCAATCTCTTAAACACTGGAATCTAAAGGATAATGAAATAAACATTATATATATCTATAAATAATATATAAATAGCTTATTTTAATGATTACTAGAGAGAAAGCGAGAGACAGAGGCTGGTGGGTGAGCTCCATTCACTCATATCAGCAGAGAGAGAGAGAGAGAGAGAGAGAGAGCGGCACACTAGGCTGTAAAATCATTAAAAGATCTCAATAACAACAACACACCTGCTTTAAGGAGAACATTTAGTTTTGTCTGCTTTCAACAGAAAATGTCATTTGCAGCATTAAGTGACTTCATCCTCACTACAATCCGTTATTTACATATGCGCCGCCATAAAGAATATGTTTATACTATAAAAAGAGACGCCAATAAAACGTATTCATTAATTACAGGCGATCTATTTCTTAACAATTTTCATGACAGATGTGTGTTTTTTTTCTTTTTCTTATGCAGGTTCACTACGACCAAAACTCTAGACTCCCAGTAAAACATCACACCAGTGTCACAAGATAAAGTTCAGAAAAGTTTCTGCATAGTTCAGAGGCTGCTCAGCAGAGGATGAAGATGTGCGTGAAATGGACTGTTACTATATACACTGATTTATTGTGAGCAGCACAAATATTAACAGATGGAGAAATTTGCTGAAGCACATCGATCACTATAGTCACAGATCTGTCTTTAACAGTCTCATTATTTTTTTCCCTTGTTTGTATGAAAACATCTGCTGATCACAATTACTGACAGTCTGATATAATAAGTAGCTTTGTTTGAAATTGTGCAGGGCATGTCTGCGGGGATGGGGTTGGGTTTCGAAGCCTCAATACAGTTTCGACACAACTGCTTTGTTTCAGCGTGTCACAAAGCCTTGCTTTGCCCATCACTAGATAAAACCCAGTAATCAATTTTAGAAATTTACTCTTGAGACGTGCGCCAATATTTAGAAAATATTCCACCACCGCCGCGCTGTGAATCTTGGGATGGTTTGGGCCACGAAGGAAAAAGGAGGCCGCATTTCTGGGCTACACATCGAGGCTTGTGAATGCGCCCTTCGAAGGCTGCAGCCCCTGAATTGGGACAAGGCTATGTATGATATATATTTTTTAAATAAAGTTGAAGGAAAAAAAACGTTATCATAGTCATGAGACTATCTTTATGGTGCATTCTGGGAACTGTATTTTGGCGAGTTTTCATTTCTCTTTCATTCTCGCTGACAGTAAGTCTAGAATAAAACTCAACCTCCCAGAAACACCGCGTTCACACATTATTCGATTGGCTTGCTACTTCGTTACCACACTGTAGGAGACACAGAAGTGTCAGATTTATTTAGTTTGATAGAGAAATCCCCGGTCAGGTTCAGTTTGCAGGGAATGAAGAAAACTAATTACAAAAGAAGCTGTTTTGTAGCGAATGGTCTCCAACGCAGCGGATAATTACAATGCGTTTTGCCGATATAAGGAGTGGCAGTCGTGCTAAGTAACTGGTTTCTATTTTCAAGCTAGCAGAAGATGGAATGTACCTTAACTCTGTTTTATGCATGGAAATGATGCTAATACTTTAGCTTTAACCAATACCAGCGAAGTCGATGCTCATAATTCGCCTCACTGTCACCGGATGCTTTGCTGTTATCCAGTTGGTTAGCTAGTTTAGCTTCTTTCAGAGAAGCTCCGGCCATGGAGGAAGTTGATAAAATTCTGATTCACGCCCTAAAACAGGTTGGGACGTAAGTATCAACAACAGGGTTTCATAAATGCCAAGCTGTGCACTGTGATCTTAAAAGTAAGCATAAGTTACCGAGCTGACATGTTTACAGGCTAATGGGAAGTTTTCCGCTCAGTCCTGTGTTGAACCAGCCCCAGTCATATGATCATGCTGTATGTGGGTTATTGGAAGCTTGCGTGGATACGACCAGCTTTGTAGCAGCTAAGAGTTGATTTTTTTTTGTCTTCGTGTCCCGCAGGGAAGTGCCTGAAGAAATTAATAGCGTGAAACAGTTCAGTAGTGAGCTGATAGTAGAGGCGGTGGTCAGATGTATTCGGGTGATCGATCCTGGTCTGAGCAGCACGCTGGCCACCTCCCTTCCTCCGGGTATGTCTGCCCGCTTCAGAGTGGGCATGAGCCTGGCACAGGCCTGTCAGGTAAGATATCTGAATGGAACTGTTGTCCCCTGTTATCACTGGCTGAATCCAGTCAGACAATTGGCAGTGTTCAGACACAAACTCTGTAAGCAGTTGTCTACTTAAAGAGTTTGTGCACAACTAGTTCTTCGCAACAGGAATCATTAACTGGTAGAGAAAGTACAATTAGGAACATCACCTACATGTTGTTTTTCTTTTCACCATGGAAAGAAGAATGTGTAAAAAGCTGACAACTTAGTTTTTTCCAAAACAGTTCAATGTAAACAAAACGCAGTGATAGACCCTGATGGTTTTAATGCCATAACTTATCTGCTGTTTGTATGAGAATTAAAAAGTCTGATAGCTATGGGTTCCAATGATTTTCTGTGTCTCTTTGTTTTACAACAGAGAAAGAGTCATCTTCTAGTAGTGATGTTTTTTTTGTTCTGTAGAGATGCTGTGAGTGAGTGAGGGATTGATCAAAGTTATTCAAGATGACTTCTAACA